ACAGAGACCGTCTGCGGCCCTCAAGATCCAGGGTATTTATCATCTGGCCCTTTCAAGAAAATATTTGCTGACTGCTGCCTGTTTTCTAAAATCGGATGCTTAGCTCACCAATTTTTCACTTTTATTTTCTAATATAACCTTTTAGGGTTATAAATTCCCTTCTATTTACAACATCAGATATATTTAACAAATTTTAATATGTACCATTTTCATTATCATTAGTTCTAAGTATTTTCTAACTTGCATTACGATTTTTTCTTTGACCCATGAGTTTTATAAAGTGCATTTTTTAATTTTCTAAACACACGAGGTTTTGTTTGCTATCTTTTTGTCACTGAGTTATGGTGAGAAAATACGATCTGTATAACGCCAATTCCTTGAAATATATTGACATTTTCTTGCTGCCTATTAGTGGTCGACCTTCGACAGCTTCACGTGTGCCTGAATTCAGGCGAGTTCCCAGTTGTCAGGATCTGCGTTCCACAGACAGGCGTCAGCCAAAGCTCACTAACCTGGGCGACCGGATCCTCTATGTCCGTATTGTTTCCTCTGGGTCTACCTGACCAGCTAACTACCAAGAGAGGACTATCAAAAAATCTTCAGCTAGGATGGTGGATTTGTGAATTTCTGCTGGTAATTTGTCAGTTTTTGCCCTAGCATATCACTTTTGGAATTAAATTTGTAGGTCTCCCTTCCATTCGCTGGAGATTTTAGTCTGTTTCCATTTATTAGGCTTCCCAACATGTTTGAACTCATTGCCACCATCTTATTTTGGCCCACTCTCCTCCCTCACTCCTGCCACTCAAGCCCCATCACCTCCTGCCGCCCTCAAGCAGCCCAGGCATGCTCGTGCCCCAGGGCCTTGCACTGGCTATTCCCTCTGTGTGGAACATACTTCCCCACACACAACACCCTTCCCTCCTCAAGCTCGGCACCCAGGAACTGCTCAACAACATCTACCCAGTGAGTGAGTGCATGGATTCCTGAGATCCAGGTTTCTGATATTTATTTCTACAGAGGAATTTGTGTCTGCATCTGCCTGGCCCAGGCCAGGCATCAGGAGGCCACAGGGGCCAGCATGGGGTTTGGGGTCCTCCAGGGAGTCCCCCCTCCACCCAGAGGCCAGACAGGCAGGGGAGGGCCCAGTAGGAGAGTCCTAACTCATGCTTTTAGTAAAGGTGAACTCACCATCTCGTCCAGTGGGCGAGGGCTGCGAAGGCCATGGCTAGATGGAGACGCAGGAGTACGGGGCTGGGGGGCTGCAGATCCCCCACCCCAGCCTGCCGCTGTCCTTTGTCCCTTGGCTCCAGCCTGGAGGGAGGCAGGTGGTCTGTGGGGTCCAAGCACTGGCGCTCAGATAGAGGCGGCCAGAGAAAACCCAGGACGAGGGACGAGAGGGTGTCTCTGCTGGCCCCACATCACCCACAGTGGCCGAGGCCTCAGGCTGCCCCCCACCCCCTCCCTCAGAGCCACCCAGAGCCGCCCAGCAGAGGGAACAGTGGGCACGGGGGCCCGGGGCACAGGGCGGCAGAGAGAGGTGGTGGGCAGTGGTCCCGGGGTCCATCCCTGAGGAACTGCCTTCCCTGGGCCTGGTCTTCCAGAACACCTCAGCAGTCGGAGGACGGCAGGGGACAGAGAAGGCCAGACCAGGGAGGGGGCAGTCCCAGGTAGCCCAGGATGAGGCTAGCCCTGGAGGACAGGGAGGGTTCTCTGGGGGAGGAGGGTCAGGGGCGGTGACTAATGCAGTCTTGGGTGGCGGTACAGGGAGCCTGGGATGCCCAGGGCAAGTGGAAGCCCCATCTCCTGGCCTCTGCCCCCTCCGTCTCAGGAGCCCATCGGCACCCCCTGCCCCAGGAGGCCTGGAGTGGTGGACGCCCCAGGAGATGGGGCAGGATCCCGGGGAAGAGGAGACTACAAAGCAGCCCTTAGGGGAGCAGCCTGAGTGGGCCTGGGGGGTGGGGCACGCAGTCTGGAGCACCCCAAGCCTCCAGGTGGAGGAGGGGCCTTTGAAGGCCCCCAGCCCAGGAACACAGCTGTCCCCAAGGTCCCTGCATGACCCCTGCCCACTCCCCAGGGCCGAGGTGTCTGGCTACTTCTGCCTGGGCAGAGTCTGTCCCAACCCAGAGGACCCTGCAGGGGACTGAGTGCTGAGGGAGATGCTGAGGACCGGCCCCCGGGCCCCCAGAGGCTGGGCTGCCCTGCAGGCCCCCTCGGAGGCCCAGCCCAGTCTTCACCTGCCCACCCACAGCTCCAGGGCCTCCCAAGAGGGCCCTGAGGTCACCCACCTGCCCCCAGTCCAGAGGGGAAGGGCTGTCACCAACACCAGGCCCCCTCCCTGGTGGGTGAGAAGGCTAAAGCAGCTCCCCCTCCTGGGACTTCCCGGGCTCCAGGGAAGGAAACTTCCTCCCGGTTTGTGCAGCTGCCGCAATCCCACGGCCGGGTACACACCCCAAGCAGCCACGGGGACCCCACACGGCTGCAGGGCCGCGGCTGGGGTGCAGAAGCATCGAGCCGCCCAAAGTCTCCGCTTACCTGGACAGACAGCAGGCCACAGCCGGGGGAAGGACGACAGGGACAGAGATGGGCCGGGCAGGCCGGCGCTTCGTCCTGGCCCCCTAAGTGGAGAGTGGGGCACACACAGGGAGGATTTTCAGAATTGGGGGGCAGGGAGTGGGGGAGAAGGCACCAGGAGCTAGCCCAAGTGTCCAGTTGAGTGGGGAGGCGACAGGGAGCTCGAGAAAATCAGGTGACATTGCAGATGGAGGAGGGGGCCACCCCACCCCACCTCCCAGCGGGAGTAGCCTGGACGTGTGCTGGCGGTAGAGCAGGAAGGGGAGGCAGAGGTGGGGTGGGGGGAAGAGCCTGAGCAGAGGAAGGGGTGAGCAGAGGGGAGGGAAGCTGTGGCAGGACCCAGAGGCCACCATGGGGGCTAGACTTTGTCCACGAACTAAACAGGAGCCACCAGGGGTGACTGAACATCGAGGGGGGCGTCTCCCCCATGGAGAGACCCCTGCCGCCCCTGGCCAAGGGCACCCTGGGACACGCAGCACTGGTCGCTTGCCCCCACCTCCCAGGGGCCGACTCAGAGCTGGGTGTGTGGGGCAGCAGCCCCATCCTGGGGTGGGGGCGCAGCACAAGCCCCCCCGACTCTGTGCGTCCTCAGCTCAAGAAGCGCTCCCCGCCCGAGGACCTGCCCGCCACGGCTCCTGAGTCTCCTCCAGCGGCCGCACGCGTGGCCAGGTGGTGGCTCTGGGAGGCAGGTGCCACTCTCAGGAGCTGGCATGACCCCAAGGCTCCTTCACATTTCACGTGGCCCCAGGGCTCCTGTCCCCTCATGGCCCACACTTGGCCGAAGGTTCCCACAGCCCCGGGGGTCGGGCGGCACTGGCTCTGTCCAGAGGCAGCAAGCTGGCCACTCAGCAGCCCACACGTCACTGAGGACAAAAGGCAGCTCCACGTCCCGGCGCAAATGGCTCTGCTCACCCGGGTCCCCTCGGCACCTCATTTTCTTTTTTTTTTTTTTTTTTTTTAAAGATTTTATTTATTTTTTTATTTTTTCCCCCCAAAGCCCCAGTGGATAGTTGTATGTCGTAGCTGCACATCCTTCTAGTTGCTGTATGAGGGACTCGGCCTCAGGATGAAAGGAGAAGTGGTGCCTCGATGCGCACCCGGGATCCGAACCCGGGCCACCAGCATCGCAGCGCGCGCACTTAACCACGAAGCCACAGGGCCGGCCCGGCACCTCATTTTCATCTTTCCTTTACATTAACCCTGGGCAGCTTCCAAAAACCCCACTGTCTGGGTGACACCCCACTGATGGGCCTGGGCGCCAGTATCTTGTTAAACTCCCCAGTGGCTGAGAGCCACTGACTGGATCAGTGGACTGTTCTAGAACAAAGCAGGAGGCTCTCTGGCATCTGTGTGCTGAACTGGCTGCCCCTCAGCACAGATGTCCAGTGATGGCCAGTATCCTGAGGAGTCCAGTGGGCAGGTGAAGGGGATTCTGAACCATGGGCCTCGGGAGGTGTCAGGGCCCTCACACTACAGCCTAGACTTAGGAGAAAAAGAAGTCTTCAACCTGAAGACACCCCCAGGGCCACTTCAGAGTAACGTGTGGAGTCAGCGCGTCAGACCAGGTGCAGTGGGCACCAGGTCAGGCTGTGCGGCGTGGCCCTGCGGGGGAGGTGACCACCCAGCGGGCGGAGGGCCGCTCTGGCCCGGCCACCTCCTGCCTTTGCCCACCTTTGATCTACAGTCCAAACCAGCTCTGAAGGCAGCTTCCAGTAATGACAGCAACCTGCGCAAATTTTGTCAGGAAAAAAAAATCAAGAAAATGTCTCCAGAGGTCGTTAATGTTCTCTTTCGCTACCACAAACTCCCCCTCTTCCCCAAAGTCCTCAGGTCAATGTCGCTGGTGGAAATCCCTGTGATTTTATTACATCAGGAATAAAACATAGGCGGTCCCACACTGTGTCCTGCGCTGTGTTCTCAGGCCCACTTTAAACCTGGAAATGAAAACCAAGACGCAGAAGCCACACGTGCAACACAAGTGCCTTTCACTGAAGCCACAGACCAGGTGCTGCCAGGCCCGCCTCGCAGGGCCGCTGTCCTCACAGCGCAGCTCGGCTGCTCCAGACAGCAGGCGGAAACCCAGTGGTGCGGCGGCAGGCTGGCGGTCCAGCACACAGGATGACCAAGTCCCCGGACGGGCCCGGACCACCGGCGCCCTTCCCAGCAGACGTTTTACAGAAGGAGCACAGACGCGTGCTGGGTCTGTACACAGACCCGGTTTCACAGAATGCCCTTCCGAAAGTTCATTTCAAGACAGAGGCTTTCTCCAGAACTGGAAAAGCCATAAAAATGCAAATGCTTCTTCAGAAAAGGTTGAATCTGAATTTCACCTAATGTTCAAAGTCACACGTAACTAGTTTCCCTGCGAACACAGAGAACAGACTGGAGGCCACAGCCCTGCTGCCCGCGGCTCCTCGCACCGCAGCCGCTCAGTTCTTCTCCATCTGCTCCAGGTCCAGCTCCCCGTGGTCCAGAGGGAAGACGCCCTCCTCCCCAGCGCTGTCTCAGTCACTGGGGTCCCCGCCACTCCTGCACTCGTCCTCGGGGGCCGCCCGCTCCTGCTGGGCCCACGGGCTGGAGCCAGGCATGATGATGCCCGTGAGGCCGTGAGGGTCACATGGGGAGGACATGGCTGTCTTCACTAGGGTGTCATGCTCATCCTCATCTTCATAATCGAGGGAGCAAAGGCTTTTTGAATTTTTTAAAGTCTGCAACAGAAAAGATACTAACTTAAAGCATTTCCAAGAGGTCATGTGGGAGGTGGCGTCTGCTGGCCCCGAAGGGTCCCCAGCTTCACACAGAGCGTCCTTGTCTCCTGGGCATTGGCCACACGCCCTCCATCGGGGGCTGCCTGCTCAGAGCCCACACGGCCATGTCCCCCCTCCACCAGGTGGCCGACAAGGCTTGCGGCTGTCCACGGCACCGCCTGGCAGGCACCCAGGGGGACCCATGTCCCGGCCCCACTCAGACCCAACACACCAGGGTCACGGGTGCCTGACACTGACCAGCTCCAAGATGCCTGGGATCTCAAGTGTGGAGCTGTGTCCACAAGCCCAGCTCACACTGGGGACAGTACTGGCAGGGAGGATCCCGGGTCCACCTCCAACAATGGCCCCCACCCAGGGCCCTGCTCGGCAGACGACCCCACAGCTGCCTCCGCAGCCCCCAGGTAGAACCCCACCAGACCCCCCCAGGTCCCACTCCTCCTGTGTCCTGGGGGCCACGCCTCACCCAGCTCCCCACCTTCCTCCTCCAGCCCTCCTCTTCTTTTTTTTCTTCAAATATAAACACACTTAAATCTTTCTTATCTTAAAATACCCGAGACAGACACTCCACACAGAGGGGCCTCCTCTGAGCTGCCACCACGCCCCATCACAGGAGGCATCTCCTCGCCAGGCCCAGCCCTCCGCGGCCCCCGGCACACCCCCGGCCCTCACCCTGAACTCCTGCCCTTGCAGCTTCTCTCGGCACCGCGTGCTGCCCACATCTCTGCGAGCACGGCCTCCCACCTGGCTCCACGCGTCCAGGTGTCACCTCCGGGTCTCTCCTGGGCCAGGCCCACGCTGCCCCAGACACGTGTCACTGCATGGTTCAGGGCTTCCACAGGGCATCTGCAGAAGATGCCGCCTCAGGGACACAGCTGCTGCAGGCCCTGGGCCCTGACATGGTCAGCACTGGCACAGCGACTGTGACCCTGGAGCACCAGCCACCCCACCTCCACACGAGGAGCCCCTCAGACCACAGCTCTTCCAGAGCAATGAAACACTTGACCCCCGAAAATCCATCTTTCTGCCTAGAAAATCCACTAGACACAGTTCCACAGTGAACTGAGTAAACGCTCCCCGAGGAGGACACAGCTTCTCTCCAGAACCGGGACTTTGAGGAAATTGCTCGGCTCTGAGACAGTCGCCGTACCGTCTGTTTCTGGTGTCCCACCGCAACAAGCGAGTCGCTGAGAAGGGGAACTCCAAAAAAACCAGGTCTTTAAAGATACATCTGGCAACGTGTTTTGGTCACAAAATGAGAATTCATGAAATAATTTCTTTACTCAAATCCAGGGGTATTTGACAGTCAAGGTCACTTTCATATGCAAATCCCACAGCTGGGCTGGGGACACAGCTGTCTCCCCAGCCCCGTCCCCGGCTGTCTATCACTACACTGGCTCCAGCCACTGCCCTGGCCCACATGTGGACAGCGCTGACCCCACAGCACAGGGGCCCCGGCCCTGCACACACACGAGCTACAGAAACGCTGCGTGTCTTGTCTTAAATCTCCACCTATGAAATTTCCCTTTTGATTCACAGCACAGTGGAATGCTCTCACCCAACAGCAGTAACCCGAGAGACGGCGGGAGAGCCACCAAGGGGGTCACCTCCATCACCGGGACATGAGCCCATCTGCCGACCACAACCGTGAGGCTCAAGTGTGAAACGGCCGGCTCCTAACAGCTCCCAGCTCAGGCCGTTTGTGAAAGAGACACAACGGCCACTAAACAAAACCAGCACGTGCAGAGCTGAACTTGAAGGCCATGACCTCCACTCCCTGTACATTTACAACAATCAGGTTTTCTAGATACGCTGTGATAGAGTGACACAGGAAATACATATTTGGTCTTTGTCCCGGATCCTGGCACAGAGCTCCCAAGACCCTTGGAATCTCCTGAGTGACAGGGTGAGGGGAGCGTCTTCTGTGATTTGTAACAAGCCCCTTTCAACCACACCTGAGTTTATGCTCACGTGACTCTTGTGGTCCCTAGACAGCTTCAGGATGGAGGTTGGTCGCCAGAGGAACCAACCCCAGGATTCCAGGGTGAGGACTTTTAGCTCACCCCCACCTCCAGGGAGGGGAGATGGACTGGAGATGAAGCTAATGACCAATGGCCAATGATGTAATCAATCGTACTGACCTAATAGAACCTCGGTAAAAATCGCTAAACGTGGGATTCCGGGGGCTTCGGGGATGGCACGCATGTGGAGGTGCTGGGAGGGCGGTGCCCGGAGAGGGCATGGAAGCTCGGGGCCCCTCCCCATATCCTGCCCTGTGCGTCTCTTCCATCTGGTCCCGGGCTGCATTCCTCATAATAAATCGGTATTAGTAGGCAAGGTGTTTTCCTGAGTTCTGTGGGCCGTTATAGCAAATTATCAAATCTGAGGAGGGGGCTGTGGAACCCCGATTTATAGCTGGTCGGTCGAAGAAAGGGAGGCCAGGACTCGGGACCCGCGCCTGGAGTGGGGACGACCATGTGGGGCTGACCCCTCGCCTGCAGGATCTGCACTCGTCCAGTGCATCTCTGGATTGCACACGCCCTGCCCTGTGCTGGGGTCCCCGCTGCAGGCGGAGCCCCCAACACGTCCTCCATCGTCGGCCCTGTCGCAGCTGCACCTCGTCACACCACACTCGCCCTTTTCCTTCTCCAAGAGGTCCAGACGTCTACCCCAGCAAGGAACCATGACCTAGCCTCCCCTGTCTGCTCCGCCTGCCCACTCTGGAGTCCTCGGCAGGGCCGGTCCCTCCTTGTCCCCACAGTGCCTGGCCCCCCTCCAGGCCCGAGGGTGCCGAGGCTCTGGGAGGCGGGGGGTGTGGTCTGGAGCTCAACGCCAGCTTTCCTGCATCGCGTGTGGTTCCTGGGGACCAGCCGCCTTCACCGCAAAAAGATCAGAATGTTCCTTCTATACCCCAGCTTTCTGCGGAAGGTTCATAGCCAGGAAGTCTGAGTTTGTGACCCCCTCCCAGGCACCAGGAAGAATCTTCCAGAAAACCCACCAGTCAGGAAAGGCAAAGCGACATCAAGAGTGGGTCTGGACGGCAGGGTCCGGCCGAGGACCGCAGAGCACACTGCTCTGGGGAGGCCAGGATTCCATCTTCCATCTAACTGATGGACACCGAGGCCCCATACCCTCGCCCTGCTCTCCCGAGAGGACCCCAGGCACAGCCACCCCACAGGACACGCGGAGCCCGGCCGGCAGGTGGGCAGCCTGCCTTCCCAGGCCTCGGCCGGACCCTCTCCCTTTGCTCACGCCAGTGAGTCCCGTTCTGATTTCTTTAGAAGGTCCCAGAGAAGGGGGCGGAGCCACAAATACGTCACGTTTCTGTCCCAGCGACCCGCCCTCTCCCCGGAACACGTGACCCTCCAGACGCACAGAGGTCCAGGCCTCAGACTGGTCCCCACGTCACCTCGTTCCTTTAACTCAGCTTTGGACATCGATTGGCCTGCGAGCGGAAAACAGCAAGGGAGGGGCAGGCGGTGACGGCGCAGGAACAGAGCATCTTCACACCGGTCTACGCCCAAAACTCGAACTTACCCTTTCCTGAAAGAGGTGTCCGCGGAGGACGCAGTGAAGCCCCGCCGGGAGAAGCCCGGGTCGGAGCGCGCATGCTCGGCCTCGGAGGGTCCAGGCTCCTCGCTGCTCAAACTGTCTCCACTCCAACGGGCAGTCCAGGGTCCTGCAGCTCCGCGAGCCCGGCCCACCGCCCGCCGCCGTGGAGGAGGGGAGGGGCAGGCAGGCGGGGTGGCGTGGGTGCTGGTGCGGGGGACACCCAGGCCTCAGACCCAGCCGAGGCCAGAGCGCAGCCCGAGGCAGCTCACTCCCGCACGGGCGCATAGACCGCCACCGACACGAGGACATTAGCTCCAAACCCTCCCCTGGCACGGCCCACCTCCCCAGACCGCCTGTGCTGGGCGCCAGCCCGGTGAGAGCACGGAGCCCACATACCTCCCCCGGGTCCTCTTCACCAAGTCCAAGGATGGGCGCGGCCATCGAGCGTGGTCCTGGCGCCTGCGTTTGAGGTGGCTCTTCCTCCCAAGGAGCACGCACAGCTGCGAGCGGCACCGGAGCAGGCCCCGCCGCCGGCCCGGCTCGGGCGTGGGCGAGGGGGTGCTGCTGGCTGAGGGCAGGGGCGTGCCGGCGTCCGCCAGGTGCTCCTGCAGGAGGGACAGGCGGCGCTGCGAGGAGAGCACGCACGGCCCTGCAGGACGCCAGGGCCAGCCCGAGCTGCCGTCCACGAAGCCGCTGCTGGCCCAGGACCGCAGGGGTGCGGGGGGGGGGGCGAAGTGGGGCCGGCCGCGGGGAAGGTGCAGCCCAGCGGCGCGACACTCCCGGGTAGGCTGGCACCTGGGCTTCCCTGTAGCATGGCGCTCCCGCCGCCGGGGCACGGCCTCTTGGAGACAGGAGCCCAGACCTTGGAGCCAGCGGGGTGCCGCGGGGACTGGCATTGTACCAGCTCATCTGGCTCCGACAGGGACCAGCAGTGTCACTTGGTGGGCAGTGCCGAGAGTGGCCCCGCGCACTCCCTGAGGTCCAAGGCGCTGACGGGACCAAGGCCCGCACTCAGGCCTTATGGGCCCTCGGCAACCTGGCTTCCAATGGGCCGTCCTCCACTCATGACCTTCCAGGGGCACCTGTCTTCTGAGGAAACATGAAGGGGAAGAGACAGGTGAGCAGGAGGCAGGTGCATCCTCCACCGCACCATATGCACCTGCCTGGCCTCGGAGTCGGGGCCAAGCCGCCCCTGACACAGCCACGCGCCTCCTGGGCCCTGAGGGACTCAGCGCCGAGGGTGCAGCTGCCGTCAGCGCCGGCCGCACCTGCTTCCCCAGCAGGGTCGGCCCTGGCACCAGCCTCACTTCTCCAAGGAAGGCGCCTGTCTCAAGGAGGCCAGTTACCCACCCCTCCAAGTGCGTTCCCTGAAAAAACCCAGAGCTGCTCCTGATTCTGTCTCACGAGAACACCTGTCCCGTGACATCCACACACTGGTCCTCTGCCCGCCGCCAAGTGGTCCTGTAGGTGCGCAAGCTGACCGGCAAGATCCGCAGGGCCGCTTCTTCAAAGGCGGCTGGTGCTGCTTCGACAATGTGAGCAAAGGCCGACAGCCCAGCACACAGGGCGGAGCAGACCCCTCCTCCCCGAGGCCTGCACCCGGCTCCACCGCCCCTCATGGTCACAGCCTGCAGCACACAGGGGTGGGGACCGTGAACCTGGACAGAGACCCTGACACCGAGAGCCTCCACTGCCACGCCATCAAACAGGTGCTCTGAGGGTCACATGAGACCCCGAGCATCCAGGGCTCAGCAGCGTTCCACCACAGTCGACTTGTGGCACAGTAGGCCGTGCCAGCGTGGCATCAAGGGCTCCCTCCCCCACCCGACACGCCAAGAGAAGGTCTTTAGGGACCCAGCTCCAGCGACTCCTCACAAACTCCAGAACCGCCAGGAGCCCACCTGCGCCCTTCCTCAGCCTCGTTTCCTCCACAAACCCCCTGGGCGCCTGGACCTGGCGTGCGCCTATCAGGGCCGCCATCGCAGGCTGCACCCCTTCCTGACCGCCGTCGGGGTCAGACCAGGTGACTGGGTCTCCTTGGTCTCCTCCCGTGGAGTCAGGGCCGCGTGAAGCCAGGACTCCTGCTGACCTGGCCCAGAGGGTGTCCACAGCCTCTGCCACCCCAGCTGCTCTGCAGTCACCACCCGCTGAGGGAGCTGGGCACAGAACCCGCAGGCCCAGGGGGAGGCCAGACCCCCTCTGAGCAAAGGCAGGAGCCAAGGCCCTGGGGTGGCACTGGGGCAGCAAGGAGGCGGGGGGCACGGTCAGAGAGGACAGCAGGGCTGACCCCGTGGGCCCTGCGGGAAGTGAGTGAGGTCTGGCACCGTGTGCAGGACCGACTCTGGGTGAGGACAGAGCGCCAAGGGCCAAGGGCTGAGCCCACACTTCCTCGGTCCATCCGTCCACAAAAGAATTTGGTAAAAACCCTCACTTCAGTAGTCTGGAGAGCCGCCTGACACACCATTGACGCCAACGGGGCTTGTCACTCAGCCACAGAGACCAGGGCCGGAGCTCGAGGACCTGGGACTCAGCTTGGGTCTGTCCAATCCTAAAATCACACAACTGACACAGTTCACTGCGACCGCCGACCGCAAGGCACCGTTGTCAGGGGCACAAGCGCCAGCAAGCTTCTTACATGTGCACACACTCGCACTGACAGCCCCTCACACGCTCACACGCACTCACTCTCGGGGCCCGCTCCCATTCAGACCGTGGGGCACACGTGCGGGGGACGTGCCCTGGAGGGAGGGTGAGCCTGGTAGACCCACGCACTCCAGGGCATGGACGTCCCTGACGCATAGCACGGGCCCAGTGTGTGCTGCCAGTGCTGCAGCGAACGCCACGGGCACCGCCTCCCCCCCCCCATGCCATCCTCTTCTTTCTCCAGTGGCCACAGGATCCCACCGGGCGGGCCTCGTACCTCCACACTGCCAGGCGCCTTTCCAGAACGGATGCAGCAGCCCCAGGCCCCCATGGCCACCAGGAAGAAGGAGAAGGGTGCCTGGGCCTGCCCCACGCACCAGCAGAGGAGGGGACAGCCGCGTGACCTTCCACCTCTCGCGTAAGACACACTGTACGGGGGCTTTTGCTCCGAAAGGCAGTCTCACATTCAAGTTCAGCTTCCCACACCCGCTCCCGCCCAGAGCACAGTCCCGGCCCTGCTCACAGTCCGTGGCCACAGCAGCCCAGGAAGACCTGCCAGGGCTTTTAAACTCTTACTGTTGGTCTCAAAAGGGAACAAATGGCCACTTTTGCTCAGTTTCTCAGCAGAATACTGCAAGTGACAAGAAAGAGAAGGCTCAGTGCTGCGGACTCGCGCCGGAGAACTCAGAAGCAGCGAGAGGTCACGAGACAGCCTGTGTTTCATCCCTGCAGTGAATCCTGTTTTCCCAACGGTCTGTTTGGTCATTAAAAAGACAAGCATTGACCCCGGAATACATTTTGTTCTTAATCCAAATTCTTTTTTTTTTTTTTTTAAAGATTTTATTTATTTATTTTTCCCCAAAGCCCAGTACATAGTTGTATGTCATAGCTGCACGTCCTTCTAGTTGCTGTATGTGGGACGCGGCCCCAGCATGGCTGGAGAAGTGGTGCGTCGGTGCGCGCCTGGGATCTGAACCTGGGCCACCAGCAGCAGAGCACGCACACTTAACCGCTAAGCCACGGGGCCGGCCCTTAATCCAAATTCTTAAAAGCCTAACGTTATTCAACTGCGTGAAGGAAATAAAAAGCCGTGAGTGCGTACGCTTCTGCTCTTTGAGCTACCACCTCACCTCTTAGTCACCCCTCCTCGAGCCCTCCTCACCGGCGATGGCTTCCACACAGACCCGGCCCCGAGACAGGCTCGCCGGGGTGGCCCTGGTCTGGGAGGTTCGGACACAGGGCCTCCCTCATCCAGCGGGCCGGGACAGCTTCGGGCGCGGCAGCGTCAGGGCCTGCGGAAAGGTGCTGCCCCTCTGGCTTCAGCCCTCAGAGCGTTTCCTCTCGCTCACTGGGCCCCGTGAAGCCTGAGGGACTGCTTGGTGAGCCGTGGTCTACTCCATCGCCTTGTGTCTGTCTGTCTGCTCTCACATGCTCCCCCAGCCCAGGCTCGGGGCACGGAGCCCTGGGGGCTGAGCGCCACCAGAACCCAGGGGGCTGCACACAGGCCGTGCGAGCCCTGCTGGGGTCTCATGGCCATCACCGTCAGGCTGGGCACTGGTGAGCCCCCCAGGCAGGGAGGACACAGAACCCTCTCACGGGTCCAGGTGCACAATCTGCACCTTTTTCTGCCTTTCAGGTCTGGCGTTTTCTCCACCGCACCACACGACCTCTCAGCTATGCCTGCTTCGTCGGGGATGGTTTTACATGATTTCCAACCTCAGGATTTAAAAAAAGGAAATCCTTTGTTGCTTCTCATAAAGGGAACGAGTTAAAAGTTGGGTTTGTGACCCAGAAAAGAGACACCCATCAAGTCAGACTATGCGAAGACCGACGGCTGCCGGGGCAGCGAGTCCCGCGTCACCCGGGAGGACGGGAGCCTGGCACGGGTGCGAGAACTGGGTGACCGTCAGGTTCTCGAAGCCTGAGACCCGGGTCGGATGGAACAGACAAGAAAGCAGCTTTGTAACGACCAGAAAACCTACAGTGAACCCACGGGCTGTCTTCTGTACGTTTTGTACTGCCGTAGGAATCTCAGCTGCGGCTGCAGACACCCTCTGACATTACTCAATCCCCCGGCCCTGGGGACGCCACCCACCCCCCGCCCTCCCTGGGCTCCTCAGCAGCCCCCGCCCAGGCCCAACCAGCTGGCTGCTCTCCCCCACCCCTCCAGGAGCACCAGGGACCACGTTCTCTTCACGCACAGCGCATCCCCTCTTCCCAGGCGTCGTCCCCAGTGGGCAGCAGGAAACCTGAACAGCACCCTGTGGATGCCACGATGGACCCCCAGCAAGGAAAGACTCTGTCTCCAGCACCAATGGCCCCACACAGGCGGCCAGGTGCCCACTCAGTGCGTGTGCAGGTGAGGGGCGTGGGGGCCGCCGAGGAGCTCTGGTTCATGGACAGAGCCTGTGCCGGGAGCCCTGACGAGAGGATGCGGCCTCTGAACACTTGCTGGGACGCCGCAGGGGGGCTGAGGCCACAGGCTCACAGGAGGCAGGCCTGGCCCCACCACACTTGCAGTGACTCGGTCTCCATCCGTCCTCGCCCCATCCCCCCCAACCCCGCCACAGAACTGGGTAACAACCCGTGCAGGGCATGGCCAAACAGCAAGGCTGGGGGCTTGGCAAACCCTGTGACCAGCCTGTCACCAGGGCAGGCCAGCACCTCTCTGAGCCTCAGTTTCCCCACCTATGTCAGGAGTGACAGTGGGACGCTCATGCAAGGTTGCTGCTAGGGTTACTGAGAACACAGGAAACCCCCGTGATCAATGATGGAGAAAGGACGGTCATCTCCAGAAGCAGCGCTGGGTTGGCCGCACACCCATGCAAAAAGAAAAAGAAAATCCCACCTTGAGACCCCCTCATCCCACACACAAAACTCAGTTCTGGAGAGTGCGGTCTTCTAGCTAAAGGCAAAACAGTGACACTTCTAGACGAAAACACAGGAGAATATCTTCAAGACTCGGGTTAGCAGAGATTTCTTAAATGGGATACAAAAAGCACTAAATTACATTGATACATTTGTCTACATTGAAATTTAGAATTTCTGTCACTATAAGGCACCATTAAGAGAGTAACAAGGCAAACCACAGGATAGGAAAAAATATTTGCAAAACACGTATCCAAGAAAAGACTTGTAGCCAGAATATATAAAGAGTTCCTACAAATCAATAAGAAAAAGCCATACAACCCAAAAGAAAAATGAGCAGAAGACTTGAAGTCATTCACCAAAAGGACATAGAAACAGCCAATTAGTAGCAGAAAAGGTGCCGATCTCATTGGTCATCAGGGAAATGAGGCCAGAGCCGCAAGGAGATACCACCACACCCCACCAAATGGCCAGGGAGAAGGGGCAGGCCAGGGGTGCCACCAGTGGACACCTGTGGGCAGCCATTCCACTCAAGAGAAGTGGGAACAGACGGCCACGAAAGATCTGCACACTAATGTGCTCAGCAGTGTCGTACTTAGCTGAAAACTGGAAAGAACCCACATGTCCGTCAACAGGAAAACAAACAACGTAAGACGGAGGAAGGAACAGACTACTAGTTCACCAACACTGCTAGTGTATTCCAAAGCTCCGTCGAGTGAAAGAGGCCAGACTCCAGAAGCGCCGGCCACACGACTGCATGTCTGTGACAGCCCAGGACAGGCAAACGTGGGGCCACAGGGGATGCCCAGAGCACGGAGACTTCCAGGGCCTGTTCGGGGTGGAGGTGACAAGGTCATCGGTGGACACGACTGGCAAAACTCCTCCAACTGGACATTAAGCCCAATCTGTGTATTTCACCACATGTGGATTACCTCACTAAAAAGCATGTTTTAAGCCAAAGGTCTTTAAAAGCCAAGCTCTCCACCAACCCAAGCCTACACCTGCACAGCTGGACACGCTGGAGGACACACAGCGTGCTGACGGCCCATGCCACATCCACCCGGGCCAGCGGCCAGGTGCTGATTCTCGTGGACCTCTCCGGGTCGCGCTCCTCCTAGCCCCTCCACCACCACCCCCGCCACGACCGGTGGCCCCCGCCCCACTCTCCACCCCGCAGCAGAGTGGGCCTGCTCCCCTGGCCTGCATCATGGCCCCTCTGCTCCGGCCTGCCCTTACTGAGAGTAGAAGCCCAAGCGTTGCTCCCACGGGGCTCCCTCAGGCCTCTCCCGCCATCACCCCTCAGCCACACGGTCTCCCGCTGCCAGTGGGTCCTCAGCGCAGGAGGCCCTTCCCCAGGGACCACCTGGCTCGCCACCCACCGCCTCAGCTCCACTGAAAGTCTAGTGTGGCCACCCTACGTCAACTCTCAGCACACCCTCCCCGCACTATTTTCCCCCGGCACTATAGCGATGCCCCAGTCACCCTGTGTACTGTCTGCCTCCCTGAAGAGATGAGCACCTGCTCTCCCTCTGCAGCATCTAGAACAGCTCCGCCACAGAGCGGACGCCCACATTCACTGAAAGATCTTGACAAGTGCAGTCGGATCTTGTTGCCCTTTCCTGGCCGGCTGTCCCTGCTCTCTGGGGCAGCCCCGGGCCTGAGCGTGGAGTGACACCAGCCCTGCTGGCCCTGCCCACTGGTCTTTGTTCCCTGTGGCCCCCAATGGCCTTCACCTGCCCCCCTCCAGAAAGACTGCTCCCATCTTGGCAGTGCGCAGCCCCCACTACATCTCTGACCCTCTCTGTTGCCCCTGCAGCTGGATGAGGCCCCCACTCACGCCCCTCCCTCAGCCATCATGCCTGTGGTTCCAGGGCCTGTCCTCCCACGAGAACACCAGCCCCTTGAGGCGGGCAGCATGTGTCCGGTCGTCCACGGTGGCACCCCGTCTGGCCTAGAGTTGTAGAATGAAGGAATGAATGAATCAGAGAGCCTACGGCCCAGTCGAGAACTCGAGGATCTGCCTGTCAACTTCCACAATGGTCGTGGTGGGATTTTATCAGAATTGCAATGATCCCTTCATGGTGAATGGTACACCCCCACACAGGTGCACCCCAGCAACACAACATAGGAGCCATCGGACCCCACAACCACCTGGACGGATCTCCAGGGCATCGTGCCAAGGGAAAGAGCCCATCCCCACAGGGTACATACTGCACGATTCCATTCACAGATCATCCTTGAAATGACAAAATTATAGAGACGGAGAAGAGCTTGGGGAGGAAGGCGGGTGTGGCTACGGAAGCGTGACAGGAGGGGAGGGCTGACCATCACCTAAACTCCGGGTTAGCGACACAACTGGAGACTTGACTCCACTTTTGCCGACAGCCAGCAGCCACGGGCGGCTACTGAAATTTAAACTTAAATCATATAAAATACAAGTTCAGTTCCTCCTCGCACTGGCCACATCTCACTCTCAATAACCACGTCTTGTGAGCAGCTGCCATATGTGGACAATGCGGAGCCTCCCCGTCGTCACAGAAAGGTCCCCGGGATGGCGCTGCTCCAGCTACACATCCAGACTCACTGCTGAGCCAGCACTTGTTGACGCTGACTCAGAGCCACTCACTGTGGAAAATACCGGAAGACTCAGGACACAGCCCCGATTCACAAGGCACTCGCTGTCCTAGCGGGGCAGGGGCAGGGGGAACCAGACTCAACATCACATGCTTCCAGGTCCTTTCTGTCATAGCTGGACTAGCCTACGTCCCCTGAGTGTCACGGAGGCAAGGCAGGAAGAGCCACTCCAGCCCCGCTAACCAGGAGGCTTTGTAAGAGAGAGGGGCCTTCAGGGGAAGC